GTACTTTCAGCGAACAGTAAGCCACCCATAAGCTGAAATTCTTTTGTACAAAATAATAATTTCCACAGATATGGCTAATGAACTAATCTGTAACAGTGTTTACAGATTCCCAAACAGGGAAAATGTGTAAATTTGCTGACTAAATTGATTACAAATGTAAAGTTTAAAGCAAGAATCAGTATTTACCTAAAGGAATAATAAATAAAAACTTCATGTTTACTAAAAGTAATAATTATGCATTACAAACTCTTCCTCAGCAGTAGCTGGAAATATTTCCTTCGTGTCCATGGACTGAAAGATTTGAGGGGGAATGTAAAAAAGCTAATTTTGATTGTTGCCTCACTGGCTCCTTGACAATCTGCATGCATGTGATTAATATTGTTTCAAACCTCTTGACTTTCATGACTTCGTAGGTGACCATGAACGATGAGTATTTTTATTACGTTACAATGCGTTTTATGAACTCAGATTTTGTGGGGGCAGTTCTCTTCAGGTGTAAAGTAACATAGCATGGATGAACTGAATACTTTACGTTTGTGTTCAAATCATATTGGATATATACCTTTTTTGTATACGCATCTGTGAAATGTACTTGATGTCCTGATTTTGAAAATATGTTCCTTCAAATAATTCTTTTTTTTTTTTTAAAAAATTGCATTTTAAAAGGTTTATCCTGCTAAAAAGGAAGAGGGGAGAAACCCTTTTGATTTTAGTTTGTCAATGTGAAATTTCTTAATTTCTAACTGTTGATGTAATGTCTATATTGGCAAAGTCTTCAGTAATTACACCTACTTTATAATTGTTCTGTATCTGCAGCCATTTTACCCCAGGGTAAAGTGGGTGGTAAATGCTACCAAGTCGTCATGGTAGTGTTTCTCTCTCACTCTGTTCTGTCTGAACAACTACACTAGATGTAGGACAATGATGAAAAATCTACATGTTTCTTGGGACTGGTCTACACTTAGAAGTTTTGCGGGCACAGCTATGTCCTTCCCAGCATAGCTATGCTCGCAAAACTGTAGAGTAGGCAAAACTCCTATGGCTATCCTGGCCTGACTTTTAAAGGTAAACAGTGTTTAAATTCTGGTCTACCCTGAAAAGTGGCATGTAAACTAAAATATATGGGATTCCATGCTGATCATGTCTCGCTAATTTCAGTGTCTAAAGTAAAAATATTTTGTCTAATAGTTTATGAATTTCCCTTAAGTTTTGACAGTGATGCTGTTTTCTTTTTGGTCCCCATCTTGTGCATAATGAGTGGTAATAAAGATAGTGGAGACCAAATGTATGTCTTCAATGACACCTGTAGTCTTCACTGGGGATCAATCCCGTTGCATTGTAAGGCAAATCATAGCTGTTATGGCAAGTGCCTGAAACAGTAAATATTTTTAAATCCAATTTGGCATGTTGAGCTCTAAAGGACTTTTGTTTCCTTTGTATTCCACCCAAATCTCTCTACTCCTTGTGTAATATCTACATTACTTAGTCAAAACAGGTCCTCATACCTAGAGTCATAGAATATAAGGCCAGAAGGGACCACCAGATCATCCAGCCTGACCTGTATATTACAGACTACTAAAGACCACCCAGCCAAGACTACTTGTCTGAAGTATTACAGTCCTCAGGAGACTAAACTGTTCTATGCCACAGGCAGAGAACAAGAGGGATGGAGGTGCACCAATGCCCAAGATCTCTGCAATGGCATGGAATTGACTAAGTGAGATAAACCCAGATTGTCCTGGAAAGGAACCTGCACTCCATGCTACAGAGGAAGGTGAACCTCCCTGAGGCCCTTGCCATTCTGACCTGGTGAAGAATTCCTTCCAGATGCCAGATATGGCAGTTAGTTAGGTCCTGAACATGTGAGCAAGACCCACCAGCCGCGCACCTGAGAATGAGATGGTACTGAGAATTCTTGGAGCACTGGCCCATTTTGTCTATTATCCCATTCCAGCCATGGCCATCCCTAATGTTACAGATGAAGGAAGAAAAAAACAAACAAACCAGAATACATTGTGGGGAGTGAATCCTTCCTGACCCTTACAGGGGACCAGCTGAAGCCCTGAAGCATGATATTTTTAAGAACATAACATGTAGAACCAGAAGAGACCAAGGTCGCCAAGCCCATCATACAATCCCATTCATAATTTTTGCAAGCTGTATCTTAAAACTAGTTAGATTGTTTACCCACAACTCCTATTGGGATGCTGTTCCACAGCCTTATCCCACTGATGGTTCTAAATGTTTTAATTTCAAGCCTAAATTTATTCATGGCCAGTTCACCTCATTTGTTCTTGTCATTTTCCTTTACCTTAAATAGCTCTTCTTCCTCCCTGATCTATTTATAGAACGCATTCATATCCCATCTCAGCCTTTGTTTTGCGAGGCTAAACAAGCCAAGTTCTTTTAGTCTCCTCTCATAAGATAGGCTCTCCATTTCTCTGATCATCCTAGAAACCTTTCTTTGCGCCGGTTCCAGTGTGAATTCATCTTTCTTGAACAAAGGGGGCCACAATTGTACAGAGTATTCCAGAGGAGGTCTTACCAGTGCCTTGTAAAAGGGTATTAATACTTCCAAAATTTCTTTAAAAAATTTGCCCTCAAAAGAAACCTCACTTTTAAATTTTCTCATAGAATGGGAATTCTAAAGGTTAATTTAGAAAAATCTAAACAGTTTTTTGTTTAAATGCGCCAAAACAAAATTGATGAGGCTCCCCAGAGACGTGGTAGCTGTACTTCTAGGCTCCCTGTTGCAGACCTGGCAGACCAGAGATCCCTGGCTCCAGACAGGGCTCCCATTGGTGCAGGACTGTTCGGTTTCTCTATGGCAGGGAGTCTAGAAGCTATGACGGCCCTAGCTTGAGCCAGAGTTGCTGGGCTTTGTGGTAGCTTGCAAGGCAGGCAAGCTGTCAGAAAGCCAGACAGGTTTTCTTGGGAAACCAACCTGGTTTACATCGGAAGATCTGATGAAATCAATGTGTTTCTGTAGAACATTCAAATTTTGTTGAATTGGCATTTTCCAATGGAAAAACTCAGTCAGAAAATTTGTGACCAACTTTACGTTAAACAAATAGGCCTGGCATCCCACTTCAGTTTGAATAATTGGGAACATAATTCAGTGACTCAGATTATTGACTGACGTAATTGGTATAGCTCCACTGAAGTCAATTTACTCCAGCTGAGAATCTGTCCCAATGTTTGAAGACCTAGGGATTCAACAAACTGCTATAGGATTTTCTTTAAAACTGCTCAAGATGAGGTACTGAAGAGGAGGGGATACAATTTTTACTGTCTGAGGCTCTTACTATTTTGTTAGTTTTTTAGTGACAAAGAAAGATTCCAGTGACAACTACTGGGATTTCATTGTTCTAGTTCTTTAAAACAGTTGAATGAAACTTTTTATTCCACAGAAGTGTAGCATTCACTCCAAATGAATTCAGAATTCCCTCACAATTTTCTTAGTCAGTGCTCAGCTCTTTTGTTAACCCTTAAACAGGGATGAATGGTATGTTTAAAAACAACCAACCTTCATCATTATTTCTGTGGTGATTCCAGCTAAGGACCTGCATGAAGCATCAGGACCCCATTGTAATAGGCACCATGCAAACTAACACCAGGAGTCCTTGAGAGTTCGCTGCCTATAATTTGCAACTCAGCTGAATCATCTTGTCCCTGTGGCATTGTCATGCCCCAGTAGACTCACCAAAACTGGTGCTAGAGTAGAGAAACATGAGAATTGAGAAGAATCTGAGTTATAGTAAAAATAGAATAAACTTTCAGCATGATTGTCTTAAACTATTTTAAAAAAGGAGTTCAATGACACTTGTAACTTGTTAAGCAGAGAAGAGCAGTCCTTGGTTTGGAGACTGCAGTCCATGTGACTTAATTTAAAAAAAAAAATTCAGTCAGATTCTTGAGAAAACCCATCACTGTCTTCCTAATTCTTCAAGTCTCTCTGTAGAATTGATTGTAATCTAGGATTTCCTTGGTTTCTTATTACACACACTGCAATTGTACATTTCATTTTGTATTGCCATTGTGTTATCACATCTGGCAATTAGCATATTGAGTCAGCGTAAGGCAGCCAGCTCACCCCTGCGGCACCTCCAGCTGGTCTTAGTCAGGAATTAGCTCACCAGGCTCTGGAGCGCCCTCTGCAGGCTGGTGATCCACCTTACTGCTGACCCCGTGTCCCTCCCAGACCCAGTGCCCCTTGTCTCTTGGATGGCTTCTCCTGGTAGTACACCCACTGTCTCTCAGGGTTCCTACCCACTATCCTCACCTTCCCTCAGTGTAAGGCTGCTGCCAGTCACCAACTAGCCCCTTGTATCGGGGGCAGACTGCAGTGTAAAAGCCACTCATCACTGGCAAGGAGGAGTTTGGACCTGCTGCCTCGGCCTACCCGTGGGCTGCCCCCTTTGCAACCTCAGTACCTGCCTGGCCTTCTACTAGGCCACAGTCTGGGATTTTCCCGGCCGGAGCTCCCCAGCTCCCTTGGCCTTTCTTCAGCCCTGCTCCAATCTAGGTACTCTCTGCTCCCTGCAGCCAGGTCCCTCCCTGTCCAAAGGCAAGAGAGAGAGTGACTCAGCTCCTGGCTCACTGCCTACTTATAAGGCCAGCTGAGCCCAAATTGGGGCATGGCCCCAGCTGAGCCTACTTCCCTACTCAGCCTGGGCTGCTTGCCCCAGCCACAGCCCTCTCCTGGGCTGTTCTAAGCCTCTCAGGGTAGGAGCAGGTGTCTACCCCACTACAGTCAAACAAGCCAATAATACGATATTTTTAATCCTTTTGTTTTTACCCAGATACAACTTCTACTAGTAAATGTTGCTAAATTTTGAAAAAGATCTGGTTACTCAATTGCTATTGTTATGTAACATGAATATCATTGCTTGGAAAATTACAAATCTTAAACTACAAAAGTGATTTGGGTGAAAGTACAACAGTTACAGTATATTATACTTTTATAATTGCCTTATTTAATTGGGATTTTTCTTCTGTAGATTTCACCACACTTGCCTGTGACAGCTCCTGTGGGATAAGCTGGGACTGAAGCATCTGGCAGTGGCTTTCACGTCTTTACCTGCCACGATGAAAAGTTGCATGAGGTTTCTTTTTCTTTTCTTTTTTTGACACTCTGTGTGCATTTATTCTAGTGTAGTTGTCACAAGATAAGCAGATCAGTTAGTAAACACATTTTTGTAAGGATTTATTTCTTTTCCACTTCACAAAAGTTTACTTTTGAAAGTAAAGGGTAGAATAGTATTAGCATGGTAAGTACATCACCAGGACAAATCACAGATTATAGTCTAAGAAGGAAGGATCAGCGCTGGAAACTGCCAGTCCCATTTCCCCAAGATCCAAAATAAATATGCCTGACTTGCATTGACTTGAAGGACTGAAGGAGAGAACACGGAGGATTTCTTGTTTTCTCCCTCTCTCACACTTCAGTACTGCTCCATCAAAAAGTATCATGTACAACTGTATAGCGATTGTGTGTGCATGTAAACAGAGTTATCTCTTTAAGTTTTCTGCAGTGTTCTTTCATTGATTAGTAGCATCTTTTCCTCAAAGATTAACTTATGCTGCTGAGCTATCTTGCATCTTGTACTTAATAATCAGGATCTGATTCCAGAAACAGTTCTACCACTCCAGGACCGATATGGCTTCTTGTTACTCCAAAGCCGGATGTTTGGAACCAGTCCTATATAAAATGGACAGTCTGAATTGCATTTGGCTTTCATATTCAGCAACTGCTAACTATTTAGTTACATTTTCCTACTTTGAATTTCTGGAATATCTAATGTTAAAGCATAAGCTCATATTCAAAAATTAGTCTGTTATATAGAACAAATTAGTCTACAAACATTTGTATCTTAATTGAAAATGATCTTTTATTCATTTTTTAAGATGTCAATATAAGTGGTTTTTGTTGAGAGGATTTTAAAGAAATCTACTTGAGGGGAGGGGAAGTGATTTTTTTTCTGTAAAAACAACAGTGTGTATTCCTCTGTGGTTGGCTGCATTGAGATAAGAATTCTATTCATATAAGAATTGCTGAGTCTACACATAAAAATGTTTGGTTTTTTTTTTGTAATTGCTAGCCGTAGAAACTCAACTTGGCCTCTTCACAGTGAAGCTGGATTCTTTCCTCCTCCCACATCATTATCAGGAATAAAGAACCTACAAGAGTTTGGAGTCTCCTGAAAAATGTCCTTAAATGCTTGTTTGAAGATGGGGACAGTGCTCTGTGCACTGAGCGTCTTTTAGAGTCTTGGTATCCCACAAACCGGTTTTGATTCAAGTGAACAGTTAGGCCATCATATCCTGAATAAATCATCAGGAAGGAAAAGGCCCATATCTCCTCTAGCTGACAGTCCATCAGTTCTGAGATTGGATTGTGTTCTGTAAGGCCTTCTTAATTGCCATTAACCTGGCAAAAAGGGGAGCTGGCTCAATAACATACCCACGTGAGTGGTCCCTGGGTTGGAGATAACAATTCAGATATTTTTCCAGTGGAAAAATATAAACATCTGTTTGCTTTACCTATAAATATGACCATCTGCTCAAGAATCACTGTCTATCTATGGGTATTAGCCAGGATGGGCAGGAATGGTGTCCCTAGCCTCTGTTTGCCAGAAGCTGGGAATGAGCGACGGGATGGATCACTTGATGGTTACCTGTTCTGTTCATTCCTTCTGGGGCACCTGGCACTGGCCACTGTTGGAAGACAGGGGACTGGGCTGGATGGACCTTTGGTCTGACCCAGTAGGGCCGTTCTTATGGTGATACATGCTTTCTTCAGTCACAAGGTGGATGTTGCAGGAGTAGTTGATGTGAGGCTTTCCCCTATTTCCTCTGGTAGCTTCATTGACATTTTTGCTCAGGAGACAAAGGGCCCATGGTCTGTATGGCTAAGGCAAATGTTTATCTGTTGGGGATGATGTTAATCCCATTGTGCTGAAAATGTTGCCATGTTTAATCATGCAGAACCAGTGCTCCTATTTAATTCGCTGCCTAAGATCCCTTTTCCTGTCAGTGTGGGAGACAAACTGCTGAAGGAAAAACAAACAAGGAGTGAAAGTATCATGTTTTTTTTTTTTTTTTTTTTTACCCACCTTTTAGCCATGCAAGGAAAGAGACAGAATCTCTATGTTGCCAACAAAAGTTCCTTTTGTCACAGTTTATCTTCTGCAAGAATTTCCATCTTGCAAATGAGATCATTTAGATCATCCGATGAAGTGAGCTGTAGCTCACGAAAGCTTATGCTCAATAAATTGGTTAGTCTCTAAGGTGCCATAAGTACTCCTTTTCTTTTTGCGATCATTTTAGTATGACTACTAAAATATTACTTCCCTCCTTCCTTCAGAAAGGAACTATGGATTTTCTTTCATTCCCTCTTGGAAGATGTTTTCAAATTGGAGTGGTAATATCTCTCATTAAACAAGCACAAAAAATCTATACTGTACTAAAGTTAAATGCTGACTGCCAAATTACCAAAAGTGGATGCTGTAGTTGTCACGCTTGTTAAGCATTCTGTCATCCCCCAGAAAATTGTAAAGATAAAACACTTGAAGCTCTATTGGCCTCTGCAGCAACCATCTGCTTTGCAAAAGCTATTCTTTGTTTTTCCTGTTTGAATTATATCAGTGCTATAGAATTTTGTAAATGCAAAATTACTTTTACAAACAGTTAATCTTCACAACACCCTTTTGGTGTAGGCAATTGTAAGTAGTGGTGTCCTCATTTTACTGAAGGAGAAACTGAAGTAAAGAGATTAAGTAGAGCTGTCAACCGATTAAAAAATTAATGGTGATTAATCGCACTGTTAAACAATAATAGAATATCATTTATTTAAATATTTTTGGATGTTTTCTACATTTTCAAATATATTGATTTAAATTACAACACAGAATACAAAGTGTACAATGATCACTTTATATTTTTTATTACAAGTATTTTCACTGTAAAAAAACAAAAGTCTTTTTCAATTCACCTCCTAAAAATACCATAGTGCAATCTCTTTGTGAAAGTGCAACTTAAAAATGTAGATTTTTGTTGTTGTTACATAACTGCACTTAAAACCAAAACGGTATCAAACTTCAGAGCCTACAAGTCCACTAAGTCCTACTTCTTGTTCAGCCAATTGCTCAGACAAACAAATTTGTTTACATTTGCAGGAGATAATACTGCCTGCTTGTTTACAGTGTCACCTGAAAGTGAGAACAGGTGTTCGTATAGCACAGTTGTAGCTAGCATTGCAAGATATTTACATGCCAGATGTGCTAAAGATTCATATGTCCCTTCATAATTCAACCACCATTCCAGAAGTCAGGCCCCAGCTCAAGTCGAGCAGTGCAGCCCATCCCATGCTTTGCCTGCGAGCCCAGATAGCGGTGCAGGCCCTAGCCAGCTTCAGGTCTCATCGATGCCCAAAGCTCTTATAGCAGCTCAAGAGATCCTGACGCTCCCGGTGTTGCCCACACTGGCTCCCATGGTATCCCTCTCGGGGAAAACCTGCGTTGGGACATATGCGTGTGTTTCTGCCTCAGCAATACCGATCCCCATCGAGAGGGATATCCCGCCTTCATTCGCTCGCCCGAAGCCGTCACACCTCAGGACTGAAGAGGCAGGCTTAGTGGAGCCCTCTTCGGTCCCCCCCACTGGGGGCACCGATCAAGGGACTCAAGGTGTACCTCGCCGGTAGATTGGCGCAAACACTCTGAGGCACTGATCAGACACCAGGGATCACCGATCGCTGGGCCGTTGTTGCCTGGCTCCAAGAAAGAGGCTGCCCTACTGAGGACGATACTCCTGGCAACTGGCCCGTAATAGCTCCTGGTCCTGTTAGACATACCGGTCGAGTAGTGTGAGGCATGGCTCGTCGGGTATCCGACGCAGATCCTCCAAACGCCGTTGCTCCCCGGGAGCCCAACAGAGACAGTCTCGCTCGGACAGGTCGACTTTAGGACGCAGTGACTGGTCCCGGTTGGACAAGAGCCACCGTTCAGCCCAATCCTGGTTGTCCGGTACCAATCGCTCCACTGGTAGCTCCGGCTCAGAGCAAGGTCCCCTGCCTGCGGATAAGCTCTGGTACTGGCAGTGCCATCTACATTATCGGCACTGAAATCTGTCCCACGGCCCCAAGCGCAGTGGCCTGCACCATGGTATCCATGGAACCCACGGGGGTTCACCCAACCTTCCCAGGCTGCCCTATCGGTGTTGGGAGCCTCGGAGAGGCCAGCAGCCTCAGTATCCCGTCCCTCTCCTGTGCTTGGAGAGGGGGACCCAGGAGGACCCAGGGGAGCAAGCTGCTGGACTACCAATGGATGTGGAGGTTGCCATGGTACTGGCATCATCCTTGTCGTTGCTGGACGAGGCTATAACGGGAGCCCCGTCACCCAGTTCCTCAGGATGACGCCAAAGCGCACCAGGAATTTTTGAAGAGGGTTGCTTCTAACCTGGGGCTTCAGGCAGAGGAATTTGAAGAGCCCTCAGACTCTGTTCGATGTCCTCAGCTCCTGCCAGGGTGGCTCTATCCTTTCATGAAGGGGTTTCCAAAATCATTAATACCTTGTGACAGACCCCCTCTTCCCAGGTCCCTATCTTTAAAAGGACCGAACACAAGTACTTCGTGCTGACCAAAGGGCACAAGTACTTGTACTCCCACCCAGCCCTGTAATTCCCTTGTGGTTGAGGCGGTTAACCACAAGGAGAGACAAGGACAACCTGGGGCCGCCCCCAAAAATAAAGACTCGAGGAGGCTGGATCTCTTTTGGATGTAAGGTTTATTCGTCTTCCAGCCTTCAGCTGAGAGTGGCCAACCACCAAGCCTTCATTGGCTGATATGACTTTAATAAGTGGCAAGCCATGGCCAAGTTCAAAGGGTTGCTCCCCAAGGCTTCCAAGAAGGAGTTCCGAGCAGTCCTCGATGAGGGCACGACTGCGGCCAGGGCGGCCCTCCAGGTGGCGTCGGATGCTGCTGCCCGCACCATGGCTTCCTCTGTCTCCACACAGTGAGTCTCTTGGCTGGTCCTCTCTGGGTTGTCCTCCAAGGCCCAGAAGTCAGGACCTCGACGGTGGGGCCCTATTTGCGGAGCAAACAAGA